CCCCTCCCCCTCTTTTATCTCCACTTACCATAATTCATTCTACAAAAACAAGGACATTCGTAAGTGGACCAAATGACAGTGCTTTTAAAACAACAAGCCCACCAAACCCGCTGGCGAAATTGTTCGTGATCCGCTTCACTGACAGAAAGGTGGAAGAGGGCTGGCAATGAAGCATCTTGTTGTTGATTTATTTTTAAAAAGACTCAAGGAAGTGCTGTTGACCGGTTTTTGCATTAAACAAATCAAATTAATGGCTTGTGGCGTCATTTATGAAGCCGGCACACAAACAGTGATAACAGCAACTGCACAGTGAACTGACTGTAATACTGGAAACAAGAAATTCAAAACCTTGCTATTGTGAATGCGCGAATCCACACGTCCCCATATATTCGGATCACAGCAAACGTAATGGCTCTCGCAGGCCACTCGCATATCTGTACTTTTGCACACAAATGACCCGCACAAATGGCATTTCAGATCGTAGCTGTAATGCATAACTCTTTCATTTCAACTAGGAAAGTGTGAGAAACTGTTTAGAATAAGCAAATATTTTGCACAGAATAACATTTCAATCAGTGTGTTTAGCCAGTTATTTAAAATTATTCGATGAATCCCAAAACTTCACATTTCCAGCACTTCTTACTGGCCACTCATTACATGAAGTCAAAATGAATTGATTAAGAGCTTCATCAAACTCGAAGAACATAATTATTCTGTTATATTCATGCAACGGCAAACGAACCGTCAATGCTATAAAAGCTGAACGCCTACAAATGACTGTTACTTGGAGACGAGGATGTTAGAATAAAGAATGAAGACTGGGCAGTAGCATCAGTGTTCACGAAAGGCAAAATGACAAAAAAGATAACCAGATCATCCAAATAAGAACGACAGAAGGCGCTAGGAAATAAATTTGATAGACGCACACCTGTGATAAAAGAATTATTTTTTCTTCTAACAAATCCATAATGTGCAAAACATACCACTTCCCTTTTAAGACGTCCTTTAATTGCCTCTCCCGTTCCAGGGTTGCATCGTCGATCGCTTTAAATTCTTTCCTTTTGGCCTCGACCTGAAAGCTATGCAGACTGGGAAATCGCAAAATACTGCTCTGAAATTGTTCACGTTCTCCTCCTTCTAACAGTAGTGAATCAACTGTACCCAGCTTTATTTAGATGGTTCTG